AAACTAATTACCTTTAAATACCATAAAACGCCTCATGCTTGGAATTCATCTCAATGTAACAAATACGAAACACACTCACTGTTCCTGGTCAACTTTTCAATCGAAGAAAAACACAAACATTTCTGCCCGGTTTGACGAGTAAAGAATAAGCCAAACAAAAAGTTGGACCATAAAAAAGTGGGGAGTAAGCATTTGTTGTCACTTACCGCGGCCACTGATTCCCTTTCCAGCCGGAGTTAACCGCGTTACGGGCCGGTCGATCGGACGCGGGCAGCGAGGAAATCAAAACTTACCCCACTCCTACCGGAGCTTGGAGAAATAGCCTCCCCCCCCCCTCCACCCACACACACTCGCGCCAACCGACAAAACGAGGAAACGTTTGCTAGCTAGATGCTCTTCCCCCCCCCCCCCCCCCTTACACTTGTTCTTCCATCTTCAATAAAATTGGCAGGGCGGGTGGGTCAAAGGGGGGCGGAGGGTACTTCGGACACTGATCACGCACATTTTCCCATTTGGGGAAGAAAAAAAATCCGCCCCCCCTTTCTCTCATGAAGACCAAAACTACAGCCTTTATCTACCGGCGTTCGATAATGTCCGTCCATAAATCGGACGTTCGGACCGTGGGGAGATGGTAAATAGCCGGATTCATCGTCCCGCGGATCATAGTTATGATAAATCTTTGCCGGCCGAAAATGCAGATCGGCCCCCTCGCGCGTGCATTTCTTACGGCCCTTGATGAAGGCTGGAATACGAGACGGGTGAGCTGTTAGGACCCGGGTCATTGGCCGGCTTAAAATAATGCTGAACTCGTCCTCCGTTTGCTGAGGCGAACATGAAACAAAGCTATAACAAAGTTGTAAGTAAACTTACAACAACACAAACGTAACAAAGTTATATTGATTTTTAAGTAAGTTAAATTTATAACCAAGCTATAACAAAGTTGTAAGTAAACTTAAAACAACAAAAATGTAACAAAGTTATATTGATTTTTAATGAAGTTAAAGTTATAACAAAGCCATAACATTGATTTTAACGAAGTTAGCAAAGTGATTGTAAAGTTATTATTAAACTGTAGCAAACATAACTAAGTTATTAAAAAAAGCTATAACATTTTTATAACAAAACTACAACTAAATTATCACAAAGCTACACACATTCCCAGCCTAACAAAATTCGATAATTATTTATCCCGTCATAATAAAGCAGTGTTCCTCTGTCAACACCAGACTGGTACGCTATTTGGCTGAGGTATTTCCCTTGCATGCTGTTATCTACTGCACCGACCTCTACACTATAATATTTAATAACAACGCTGAGGTTGTGCAGTACCACACGTATCCAGTAGACCTACCCGCACTAGAATTCTAGAATGTTTTATTGTAGAGAAATCGTAGGAGGTAGTTGACTTTATTTTGAAGACATTTTGAAAGTTATTTACGCCTAAAAAACCGGAAGACTTACTGAACAATTGTAATAGCTACACTGCTACCAGTGTCAAATATGTTAAGTGACCTTTCTATCCTGACGGTTCACGGGGGCAAGTGAATTAGAGTTCACTTGTTTCAATGACTAGTGCGGTCAGCACTATGCCCAGCCGCCTTTCCCTAACGTGAGCCAGGTATCCATTTCAGCTGGGTAGACTCAAGGGTGCTCTACTGACAGTCGTACTCTCGTTTATCAGACCACGCCGTACGCACTACCAAGTGAAACGAATGACCAAATCATCAAGTCATATAAATGACCACATCAAACATAGGACCAAGTCGAGCAAAAGACCAAATCATCAAGTCATTCAAATGACAAAGTCGAAAATACGACCAAATCATCAAGTAAAATAAATGACCAAGTCAAACGTAGAACCAAGTCGATCATACGACCAAATCATCAAGTCATATAAATGACCAAGTCGATCATACGACCAAATCATCAAGTCATATAAATGACCAAGTCAAACGTAGAACCAAGTCGATCATACGACCAAATCATCAAGTCATATAAATGACCAAGTCGATCATACGACCAAATCAAGTCAAATAAATGACCAAGTCAAACGTAGGACCAAGTCGATCATACGACCAAATCATCAAGTCATATCAATGACCAAGTCAATGTGCAGTCAAATGACCGACTCACACTGGAGCATGCGGACACTTGCTGCATTGGTCCAGCCTCTCTTAGCTTGATTAGCCATCGACCCAAGAACTGGTCTCGCGGAGGCCGACTGGGTGTGAACCGGCCGCTTGGAAATAGTCCACCGAATCCCAAAATGATGGACCATCACTTTCTTCCTATCCCAAAGGGTCAGTTTGCCACTATTGTCTGATGTCTAGATTTGTCTCCCTTCTATGTAGACGATGTGAATGTGGAGTTAACTGCCCTTGTCTGGATCTAATGCATTTTTACGTAGAGTGAGATAGACGGGCTAGCTGGGATGATGTAATATTGTTTTCTTTTAATTTAAACACAAAATTTTATTATTAACAATAGAAGTAATTACCCCTAGACACGCTATGCCTATTGTGACGTTTAAACAGTTAATTTTCATAATACAATCATTCATATTCTTTACTATATATATATATATATATATATATATATATATATATATATATATATATATATATATATATATATATATATATATATATATATATATATATATATATATATGAATACCAATATCTTTTATTTATAACCTAACCGTAAGATGAATGAAAAGAACTGTGTTGACATATTGAAATCACACAATTTTAGCCAAAATTTACCTCCTCCCAACTAAACTGTCGCCGCGCCGTCCCCTTCCCTTACACACACAAATGCGATGGTGCACACGACGTATATTACCATAATTTAATTTAAAATTAAAAGGGATTTTTTTTAAAGAGAATTTCACGTATACCGCACAGAGGCACAGCGACCCTTCCCGGCGCCCGGGGACAAACTTTCGATTTGCACCCCTCCCCCCTCAAACTTTTGATTTGCACCCCCCCCCCCCCCTTCACTTTCGATTTGCACCCCCCCCCTCAAACTTTCGATTTGCACCCCCCCCCCCACTCAAACTTTCGATTACTTTTTCCAACCCATATGTTCCTCCCCCCCCCCTGTCCCCCCCCCCCCACCCAATTCATTGCTACGCCTCTGAAACTGCAACGCTACTACCCATCCCATTGTTTAAACACTATCCCACATAGTCAGACCCCCAAACAGAGATATCTGTTACGTCGTTTATGGACGCCCGCAAATTATGTATAAGTGGGGGGTAGTGTCGGTCAGTCGTTTGATTATATTGTATTGTAGCCCGTATGATGCAGTAGGTGTAGTTTAGGCATAGCAGGGGGGTGATGAAGAAATTAAGAACATAAGACGGGGTTGGTTAGGGCACACTTTGACCGCCAACCGACATCAACACTGACAACCGGCAGGCATTGAAGGGAAAGCCACTATGGAAAGCGCATAAGAGGTCGACCAAGAAACGCTTGACGACCTAGAAGCTGAAACTACAAAGATGGGTTAGTCTGGAGTCATGTTGGGAAAATGGCACAGGACAGAGGACTATGGAGATCTTGGGTTGGCGGCCCATATACCAGCAGGAGTAACGGGCAGTGAAGATGATGATAGCTGGGGGATATGTTGTCCTGGGCCACATTATCAATTTGCATTGATTCATTCCTATTTCACCATCTCAGTTTTTAATTTTATAAATATTTCTATTTCATCTGAATAACATACCGAAAGTTAAGTGCGAAGCAATGGATTTAAAGGGGTATCTTTTGGTGGTTTTGATATAATTTAATGTTTAGTATGTACGAGCTGACCCGCGACGTAGTATACGCCGCCATCTAGTTGTTTTATTTTCTGCTTATCAGCAATTCATAATGTGTGACTTCAACACTACCCCCTCCCGCCCCCCCCCCCCCCCCTCCCCCCGCTATTTAGTTGTTGTTTTTCTACTTTTCAGGAATTCATAATTTGTGAATTCGACAGTACCAATGCTGCCACTGAAAATATTTGATTTAAAACACTAAAACCCTCCTTTCCCCCAACCCCCCCCCCCCTCCTCGTGAAAGCAGCCTCCTCTTAGTTACCTCCCCTAAGTTTAAAATCGTTTCAAACTAAATTATCTGCCCCTAATAGCCGTCACTAAACCCGTCTCTACCCTTGTAAACAGCGTGAACCACAGCTCACCAGACCATGTGGGTATGGGGGGGGGGGGGGGGGTAATAGAGATATGCCTAGAGAGGAAGAGAGGGGACTGCTAGGCGCGCTTACAGCTTGTTTTCTAGCGTCTCCCAGAAGAGAATTATATATATATATATATATATATATATATATATATATATATATATATATATATATATATAGATGGATAGATTCTACGCCCTAAAATAATGAAATAGAAAAATTAAATAGAAAGTGCTTATACTAAAATGTGTGCGTTGTTTATCCTATCCTAATCATCTAATGATTTACGAACTTTCGTAAACAAAACAAATTCAAATGTGATCATTGTAAATGCCCCGTTTTGCATAAGTTTCGCCCGCAGCACCCCCTACTACGCTACTGGGTTGAACAAAACTAACATTGCTTTCCATTGTCTCTCTTATTGCAGATAATTCTATTTTGAATGGTTGTGTGGGTGCAGTGATACAGCTGACTAACAAATTCTTTAATTTAAAATAATTTATTTTTAGCTGTCTCTGATTAAGCGAATAATCAGTGTTTCTTTCAGACATTTTTCTCAGGGGTGGTAGTGGGGCTTTAGAAATTTTGGGGGTGGTGGGTGGACACTGCAAAGTAGGTCTATATATTTTATATATTTTCCTATTTTTATTCGACACAAGACATGGGAGTTAACTTTAATATGATTTTTATTAGGCATAAATAAATATAATCTTAAATCGGTTTATATTAATTTATCATTCTGAGCTTAAGGACGAAAGTTCTCGAACAGTTCAACGGATGTTAAATTCACCCTACCTAATAAATCTTCCTAACGAAAGAGCTCAAGGTGTTTACATCAGATTCGACGGTTTCTCCTTCGATTGTTCATTAGCCATTAGGCCTATACATAGTAATACATACAGTCCAGCGTTTATCATTTTTAAACAAATATTGACTTGGAGGTTAACAACAAACTAAAGTAAGTACAGTTTATTTTACTTGAAATCTTATGAAAGAATTAATAGTGTTTAAATTTTAAATGTGTTGAATGAATACGTTAATAATACTAATCATACGTGTCGTTGAAAGGTGACTTTTTTAACTTTTTCTTTACTTTTTTACTTTTTTGTGAGAAAGTCTCACAAGTCAACAAGTTACATAACTTCAACTCAACAACTGGTGATATTTCATTATTTTAAGAAAGACTTCTGACCCATGTCCGCGTTCTCTGCAGTGATAATAATCTGGTCTGGAGTAACAGAGAATAGTCTCGAAATTATTCTAAAGGCCCATTAAATATTAAATAATAAATAGGCCTATTTTATTTTACGGTAATCTATCGTTTTGGGTACGTAAAATCGCCCGCGATTTGTAATGTGAAAAACAGGTGACTCCTTAAATTTTAATAATTATTTCACATTTTGAGGAGGATTTATGTTTTAAAAAATTCAAAAATGTTTCCTTGATTCATTTATGTACCTGTTTTTAAACAATTGAATTAAAACTTTTCCGTAATAAATGAAGACTAGCGATGTTTCCAACAGATGCAACCATGCTCATTTACTATAGCAGCCATCTTGTCTAAGTTTTATTTTTATAAGCTTTTAGCGCCAGATTCAGGGGGAAGCCACTCTATTTTACAAATGGCTGCTGTTTATATAGCAAATCTTGCTCTCAGACACTGCTGTTTAAAGTTAATTTCTGGCCTATATCGATATATTTAGCCATTGATTTAGGTTTATTATTCATTTATCTATAATATTTGACACAAACATATCACAATATACTTCTATTAAAGCCTTGACAATGAGGTAACGTTTTGGTACATAAATAGCCGTGGGCGATTTTACGTACCCAAAACGATAGATTACCTATTTTAATAATAATCAATTATTAATTATCATGTAGGGCCTATGATGCAACAATTTAATTTTTAAAAATATGACTTTTGTTACTTTTTGAAATTTAGAAAATATATTTTAATTTTAAGCTTAGGCCTAGTATTTACTTTAGTATTATTTACTATTTACTAGCCTAATTAAATCAAGATTCTTTTTTTTTAAAGAATTTCATAAAATTTAAATTCTTCATCATTTCATTATTTTCATTCAGAAACCTAACAATACTAAAATTGATATACAGTTGAGACTGAGTATATAGGCTAATTAACTTTATTTTTTATCCTAAATTTTCAGAACTGAAAATGTTGGCAAGCAAATTGGCTTGTGGTCACACTGTTTTGACATGCTTCAGTCGCCCAGCAGTCTTTCAAACTCCAAAAACAATGATCTTTCGAGTACAAATGTATGCCTCTGAAACAAGATCAGGCCTTGGCAGATATGCTAAAAGGAAAACTTTAAAAGAAACACTAATGGCACCAGCTTCAGAAACTCGTAAGGCAACCAATCTGTAGAAGGCTGTATTATTAGTTACTGCTTAATTTAACTATTGACTAGAGTATTTATTGACCTCCCATTCCAGTTATCCTACATTTTCAGTATTAGTTGTTGCCTTTATTAAATTCGTACTATTCTAATTTTTATGTGATAAATTGAAACTTTAATTTTTGTATATCCAAAAAGGAAGATTAAACTAATGTTTTTAATTTTCACTATAAATTTCATGTTAGTAAAGATTCTTTGTAAAGACTGGTTTGATTCTTTAGAATAATGTACACAAAACTTATGCTATGAAATCATCCTTGTTCAATGTTATGAAATGCTTTTACAGCATTCAACATTGGGAAAGGTGTGGTAGCAGGTGGTGCTGCTATTGGAATAGGAGCTCTTTGTTTCTATGGCCTCGGCCTGTCCAACTCACCTGGTGCTATTGAGAGGGCTGTGTAAGTGAAGAAGTTCTTCTCTCTTCAAACCATTGTTTGTTCACATTTAAGCTTGTTTTCTCCCCTCATCTAAGTACCAATTGTTTGATATTTTAATAGACATAAACTTCTTATTTTCACAAAATATTTCTTAAATCTACTTTTAACCCCTGATTACTGTAAGTTTTTATGTTTGTGAATTTTTTCCAGTGTTTGGCCAAAGCATGTGAGACAGAGGATCCGAGACACCTACATGTACCTGGGAGGAGGTCTGGCTGTAACAGCTGTTGCTGCAGTAGCTGCCAGTCGCAGTCCTGCTCTGATGAACTTCATGATGAACAACTCTCTTCTGGTAATGTCTGACTCCTAGCCTAAACAAATTATCTACACTTACAAAATACTTAATACTGAAGTACAGTAAAACCAATTAGAAAAACAAAACTGACAGAAATGTTAATTCTACATTTCTGTCAGATTCATAACAATTATTATTTAAACTGGAATTACCATCTTAATTCTAAAAAATACTGTGATGGCTGTGGAAAAAAATTGATTACCTTGATATAATAATGCCTTTTCTGCTAGTGTAGAAATACAACAATGTTACCATGTATATTAGTACAAAGCTGACAAATATTTCTTTTTTTCTTGATTCACAGTCCATTGGAGCTACCATAGCGGCAATGATAGGCACAGGAATGCTGTGCAGGTCGATTCCGTACAGGGAAGGGTTTGGTGCCAAACAGATGACATGGCTGCTACATGTTGGTGTAATGGGGGCTGTTGTGGCACCACTGACTTTACTTGGAGGTCCACTTCTAATGAGAGCTGCCTGGTACACTGCAGGCGTTGTTGGGGGTATGTCTGGCTTACCTAAGAGGTTATCTATAATCATTTGGATGTTAAGAAAATACGTGTTCAGTGCAATTGATAAGTTTCAAAGTGTTTGATTTGTTGATTTTTTTTAACAGTATATGTGTTTTTGAGAAACTGGCTGTAAAATAATCTATATAAAAGACCAGAACTCATTGTGTATAAGTGTTTTTAAGAAACTGGCTGTTTGAATCTTGTAAAATAATCTATATAAAAGACCAGAACTCAATTGTGTTGAATGAATCTGTGTAGCAGTTAGACAGACATTAACAATTTTTAAAAATTTTGTTCAGGTTTATCAGCTGTAGCCATGTGTGCTCCCAGTGATAAGTTTCTTAACATGGGAGGTTTACTCGGTGCTGGACTTGGTGTTGTTTTCGTTGCATCTCTTGGTAAGTTGGCGGTCAAGATTTATGTTTTTATCAGTTTGGTAACCACCCTTTTCAAATGTTGCATTTATTGAGATTTAATATTACTTTTTTTTAAAGTAGTTATATTGAAAATTGAAAAAAAAAAATTTTGTACTACTATTCATAAAATTTTATTATTTATTTTTGGTATAGATAAAATATTAAAATGACTAAGATTCTTGTTTTGTCGCAGAATTATAATTGTATTCCTACTGGGATTATGATTGTATTTTTATTGTTCTTGTTCAGGCTCCTCATTTTTCCCCCCAACAACGGCTCTTGGTGCTGGCTTGTATTCAATCAGTATTTATGGGGGTCTAGTGCTCTTCAGCTTGTTCCTATTGTATGACACACAAAGGGTTGTCAAAGCTGCTGAACAGCATCCACTCTATGCTGACCGCCCGTTTGATCCTGTCAATGCGTATGTTATTCTCAAATATTTGTTTTAATTTATAAAATTATTATATTATATACTGGTTATGTGATTTAAAAAAATCATGTTTTTTTTTTCCTTTACGGATACTTATTTTATTTACTCATTTATTCATTATTAGTTTTATTTCATGTTTTTTTTTTTTTTTTTTTTTAAATATCTTAACATTTTCAATATTTGTTTCCAGGAGCATTAGCATCTACATAGATACACTGAATATCTTCATTAGAATTGCCATGATGCTTGCCGGTGGAAATAACAGAAGGAAATAAATGTGTCGATAACTTTTTTTTATTGAAAGTGTATTTATTAAAGTTCTGACAATGAATTTCTGGGACAACTGTACAAGATTTGGATTACACGATTGTTTACCTTTTTGTTAGAAACTCTGTGGAATTGTTCAAAACAAGATTTAAAAAAAGATTGTCTATAAATAATTGTCTATAATTGTGTATATACTTTTCTAACAAGCATTCGATATTAATTGTTGAAGTGATTTATTATATGAACATGGCTGATAACAAGCAAAAGAAATGTTATCGCTGTTCTGTAGGAATCTTGATCCTGGTTATATCTCATCAATTTAAATAGAAATAAGTACCAAATTTAAAACTTAAATTATAAATAGAATTCTTATGTTTAAAAATTAATGCTGAATAATTTTAATCATAACAGCATAAAAACTTTTTCTATATTTTTTTTTTAGTTTAAACATTTGAGCTTAAGTTAGAAGTATTGATTGTTCCTCTTAATTTTGTAGGTTTTATTCAATAATTACCTGTAATCTTTGATAAACTATAAGATAAATGTTTTATAAATAAACTAATTTAAAAATACATGCTGGTGTCTTTTAAAAACACTATGGAAACAATTGAATAAAGCAACTGATCTCTATGCAAATGGTGGTTGTACTATGTTCCCCGTTGATAAAAAAAATTGCTCCTGGTGGTGAAAGAACATCAAAAGTACCCACTGAATACATCAATCATTCCACACAATAATCCTGTCTGAGACCATAGGACACAGTCTCACCAGTGACTCAATAAAGAGAAACTTCATAGACCAGCACAAATTCAGGTTGAGCATAGTTGTCATCCATTAATGACATCCACAAAAATTTTGGATTTTATACCTTCCCCGTCCCTTGTCCACTTCTGGAGTATCTTTCCCCACCAATTTATGGCGTCCTCAAAAAATAAAGTAGAAAACTTACTACCAGTTTTACCATTTCAATAATGTATTGTGTAAATATTAACTCGTGTGAATTTAATACAATTTTTACTTAGGCTCATCATAGGTAAAAATTGGTTAAAATCATGTAATGTTACCCTGTGTAGGGTATAAATACAGTTATTTATTTATATGTTAAGCACCGACATCTTAATTTTACTTTTTACTTGAAGGATGCAAGTTTTATTATATTGTTTTAAAATGTTAACACTTCTGTTGTTGAATTTCCACATGGACTTGAATTCCTTTCAACTTAAGCATCCACAAAAGTTAATTTTTTAGCCCCCCCCCCCCCCCCCTCCCCATGTGGATGACCCCATGTTTATTCCATCATGTTCCTGAGTTGAGCAGGTATTCAAGAGTTCAACCTTGTCTGGGAGGAGAGTAAAAGTACTGGATGTAGGTCATTAAATCCTTTCAGAAGGTGTCAATCCTACACTTTTAATTGCTTCATTGGATGTCATAATCAAGTATTCCTACCATATAACTTTGAAATCCTATATTTATTCAAGCTAATTTACAATAGACTTATGAAAATTTCTGGTCCTAAACAGTGACATCCAAGCTTCTCATTCAACATCTTGCAAGGTACAATGATTGATTTTCACACCACAATGAGAAGCCTGGTCTGATTGTAGAGCCCATGACTGTGAGCTCTCAAATTGTGAACACTGAGTCTGTGTGATGTCCTTAAGTCCACTACCCAGCTCTAATGTGTACCAGACTCCCATTAGAGAAAGTAAATGCAGCTGGGCTGACCAAATTATTCATATGCTGTGGTCACAGAAACAGGTGAGCTCTACTTCAGGCTCAAAAGGAGAACTACATTTTTGACAGGAAAAGCATTAAGATACAACCTAAACAACAATAGATGAAAAACTGATGCAAAACAAGAGTTTATTCTAAAATGGTTTTAATTTCTCATGAAGACGGTAACAACGGTCAGAACAAAATCAAACTGGTACGACCCTGTGATCATATGAACACATGTAACCAGTTTTAACATGCATTAGTTCATTCAACAATCATCAGAAATTTGTTTTAGTGATTCAGGCACACAAACCGAGGTTCAGCTCATCATGCTATTTTTCATGCTCGGAAGGAAGGAAGGTAACGTAATAACCAATGACCACATTTACGTGACACACACACACAACTTAAAAGAGACCAGGATACTTTGTACAACAAGCACACAAAAGATAGAGCAAACAAAGTTTTCCAATAACAGTAAAATAATGTAAATAATAAATCACTTTTACAATTATCAATTTTTTTTAACCAAAATAAGGTATAATTCTGATATCAGTCCTAATAAAAGATAAATCACTAAATCTCTTCTTTAATTGACTGTGTGTCTTTTTCTTTTCTGTCAGCTTTATTTTCTTCATCTTTGTCTTTCTTGCGTTTGTGTTCATCACTCCGTGTTTTATGATCCTCAGCTTTAGACTTAGTTTCATCTTTGATTAGCATCGTGTTCAAGCTATTCAATGCACTCATTACTTGTGACCTGCAATGAATATGACACAAAACCCCTATTAAATTGGACATTAAAAAGCAACAAAAATCTTACTAATTTATAAACGTATCAATTGGACAAAATTAATTTACTTACAGGCTTAGATATTAAAAACTTTTTATATAGGCCTACTGTTAACATTTAAATAACGTAAAGGTGTTAAAAGAATTTACTTGGTTTCATTGGCGGTACGCAGCCAGTCTTTATTTAAAGTTTCTGCAGCACTATACAGTGATTTCTCTTTTTCCAATTCACTGCGGACTTTGCGCAAGTCGTGCTGTAGTTTAGAACTTGTGGTTTCCTCCTCCGTCAGATTTGTCTTAACAGTTTCTACATGAAGGAAATTTTGATTGACAATTTATTTTAGATAATAGAAAAATAAAAAAGCCAGCTTTTGTAATTCTTATTGTTAGTCCTAATAGAAAGTTGTCTTTTATTTTAACATTATATTAATATTTTATTATATTAACATACTTGATTTTAGCCCGTCAGTTATTTTAACTTTTTTCATTTTCTTAAATCCTTCCACAATTTTAAATTATTTTAAATTATTTTAAATTCACCAACTAGATAAATGTGTTTGCTGTCTTACTTAGTTCATCTGTTAGTTCTTGCATATTTTTCTCCAAAGCTGTTCTAGACTTTTCACTTCTATCCAAGCGTTGCATCAAAGATTCAATATCCAGCAGAGCACCTTTGTAGTAAACAAAATTAGGATTTTCTCCATCAGTGGCAGCCGATGATGCACCCCCGTGGTTCAGTGAATCTGTTTTAACACCTGATAGTTCCAGCAACTTGCGAAGACTTTCTTTGTTACCTAACAATAAGAAGCAGTTTACAAATTCAAATTTTAAATAAAATTCTATTCTAAGAATTTCAAGTGGATAATATAATCTAGTAATCAGGTTTTTCTCTCTAAACATTACTGTTAAGGTTATGATTAAGGTAGCTATACTAGCCAAAAATAGCTTAGATACACTGCATGCTTGAATGAATAAAAATTCAAGGGAATGATTAAAAGATTGTAAAGAAACGTAACATTATTGGTTTGATGTTTAGAAACCAATGTGATCAATAATACCATGAAGACATTGCAGGTTTGTATTCTAAACATAAACTATATATTTATGCTTGAATTAAATTTTTTATAACTATCATTATCATAATTCCTTTATATAATTTGGATGATGTAAGTTATGGGGTTCATTTTGTACACATTTAGCTGTACCAGTTTCTGATTTTAATTTAGTAGCATAATAAATAGAGAGAGAGATTACCTTTAGCCAGCTGCTCAGGGTTGGTCTGAATACTCTCCTCATCATCACGTTTTACAGGTACATTATTTTCATCCACCTCACAATCTGTTAACCTCCTATAATGAAACGCATCTTTCTGTAATATTCTTTGGAGTAGTTTTTTAATCTGTGAAAGAAAAATATCATAGATCATTAATATAATCAAGAATAATAGGCCTATGAAAAAAATTATAAATAGAGATTGAATAAATATTTTTTTAAAAAGGCATTAAAATAATTATTACTTAATACTATACCTTTAAATATTACAGGAGTGTTGGGCAAATAAAAATGTGATATAAAATGTTATACTTACTTGTGCTCGTGACAACTTGAGACCTAAAGTGTGAATTATATCTTCTGTGTCTTTATCTGTGAGGTAACCACAGTGGTTTTGGTCAAAGTAGGAAAAGGCCAACAGAAGTTGTGGCTCTACAGTTTTCTTTTGTTTTTCCTCATCTTTCTTTTTCTTTTTATCTTTGTCTTCTAAAAAAATAAAGAGGAATAATTATCAAAAATATAGAATCAAATAAATAAATAAAAGTAATCATACTAATAAAAGGATCTGAAGGAAAAAAAAATTACCTTTGTCTCTTCTATCCTCATCATCTTTATTCTGAAATATTGGTTGGTTTTTCATTTTAAAAAAATGAAAATGACTGGCAATTATCTTTTTATTACATTAACACAAATTAATAATTTCAATAAAAAAATCTAGTATTTAAATAAGTTAATTACCAACATTAGACATGAAAAAAGTAACAAGATAACAATTAAGTTACTTAATTTTTAATACCAAGTATTTAATATTTTAAAAAAAGCTTTTTAAACAAATCAAAATTTAAGTTTTTAGCCATTTACTTCATAATAAAGCCAAAGGAAAACAATTATTTTTTTCAAATTTTACATTTGTCATATAACGGCATCACTTAAGTATATTTTTTTAATGAAATAACAAGAAACAAGAGAGCATGAGAGAGCTGTATAGCACACCTCATCATCTTTATCCCCATTATAACTGTTCTCATCAGTGGCATCATCCCTGTCTCGCTTGTCCTCCCTGTCATCCTATACAAGTGCTTTATGTGTTAGTGTCAAAATTAAACAAACAAAACAAATCCTACACAAGTACTTTATGTGTTAGTACCATCATTAAATAAACAAAACAAATCATCCAACAAAAAAGTACTGTATGTGTTAGTGCCAATATTAAATAAAATAAATTTCACTTTAAAAACTAACATAATTCATTAATGTTAGTACCAACATGTAAAAATATAATCATCAAACAAACTGTCATTAACTATTAAAACATTTTAAATGAAAATATATTTACTCTATCGTCCGATCTCTTTCTCTTTGGGCTAGGTTCCTGCAAACAGATTACAATCTATAAGGACTGCATAATACTTTTTCAGCAGTAATAAGACAATACATTTTTCTTGTTAATGTGTTGGCTTTTTTTTTTTATCTGATATTTTGATGTTCTGGGAATCTACTACTATCTAGAAAAAAGTAAAGTTTTTTTAGACCTTAGTGTCAAAGTGGCAGATACATTAGAGTTCATCTGTTTCTGAGACTTATTAAGGGATAGTGTGGTTTTATGCCCAGCTTCCTTTCTCTAACATAAGGTACCCATCAGAATTTGAATTTTTATGGCTTTAAATCTAATCTGAACTCAACACTCTCAATTTAGAAGCACGAGCTCTATCAACTGACTATGCTGCCTTACTAATATAGTTAAAGATCTGGCAGATGAGCAGATGATTATGGGCCAATTTCCACAAAACCAACAAAACTATTTACATTACAATTACATTTTAACAAGTAAATGTTCAATAAGGAATCTAACTAGTATAAAACAAGTACAAATGTAACAATCATTTGTTAATGTTTGCCTGGAACCTGTGATACTGTTCCTCAGAGTTGCAATGCTTTTCAAAAAACTTTTCAATATTAAAACTAATAAAAGCAACCTTACATCATGTTTGTCTTTGTTATTCTTTTTACTGTCTCTTCCATCTTTCTCATCTCGTTTATCCTTTTCTTCTTTTTTCTCATCCTTCTCTTTTTTCTCCTCTTTCTTCTTATCTTCTTCCTTGCGTGTGGGTGCACAGACAATGGATTTATAGATTTGAAAACCAAAGTCCCTCATCAGCATCTCATTAAAAAGCTCAGCAAACAGTGAAACCTAACAAGAAAAAAGTAAAAATGCTTTAAGCTGTCAGAACTACACTAAATAAAAAGCTCAGCAACCCCAAAAACGTCTAACGAAAATGTAAAAGATGTTCCTACAGTAAGAAACGCACTGAACAAGGAAATTTTTAGTAATAAATAGTGTACAGATTGTGTAATTGATGGTGTTTATAATATCATCATTACCATTACCATTACAACCCTACCTCAAATGAGTGCTCTTTGTTATCTTCAGGTCTGTAGTCCAATAACAGACTGAGAGACATGACCGAACAATCAAACTTGCCGCCCTTGGCAGTTGGTGAAGGATGAACCAATACAGATGGTGTCTCGGGCAATTTGTAGCGTCTTTCCAAAACAGCTTTCTCTCTCTTCTCTTTTCTCTGCTGCTCTTCTTCCTAATGAAAATAAAAATTTTAGACATTAACATTTCAGCTATCAACATAGCTATCAACACATTTTGAAATTGACAAATTATTACTTGAATTATGCCTACAGATAGTGTAAGAAACCTTAATTAGACCACTTAGCTAATAAACAGGAAAACAAAATAAGCAGTAGCAGATATTTAATGAGAAAAATAGTGCAATGGCTTTAGAGATGTGATCAAAATGGCAACAAAAAGTGTCCCAAATAAAAAAAAATAGCAAAGGAAAAAGCAAGCAAGATAAAAACAATTAAAGATTGGTAGACTTACCTCTTTCTTTTTACTTTCACTTTTCTCTTCCTCATCAGATTCATTTTCCTCTTCAACTTTAGCAGCTTCCTCTTCCTGCTAAAATATAAAATAGAAATTCTTCATTAACCTTCATAAAAGACTTTTTTTTTATTTCTTGAATTTCAAATATTTTTCTTTACATGAAAAATATACAATTTCTTTAGTACAGTTTACAAAAAGAGTCTACAATTACAGACACTGTACTAGAACAATTCTTACTGCAGCTTTTTCAGCCTCCATTTCCTTATCTTCCTGCTCCTTGTCCTGTTCTGCTTTCAGTATTTTTGTAAGTCGGGCAATGAGCTGAGATTTCAGTCCCTTGGGGCTAATATTTCTTAGCTCGAGCTCACGTCGCAGGTCCCCCACCTGAAACAACAACACGCAAACTTGAACTACACCACCACATCTTAGGTAAATGAAAATAATTTCCAATAAAGTGTCCTCTAAGTTGACAAGGAGCTAAGGCAAGCAAGTAGGTTAGGCAAGTCCCAGGGAGACAAACCTTCATCACTTTGGGATCAAGGGTTGAAAAGTGTGATGGTTCAGCTTTGTCTTCAGCTGTCTGTTCTTCACTCTCCTCTTCTTCCTACAGATAAAACCCGTAAAGTGTTAGTGTCATCAGCAACAATGTTCCCAAGTGTTGGGGTAAAGTCTGCAATCTTAACCTTTCTACTAAACGCTGACCACCAGGGTATCTCCTCATCAAGTTACGACATAAGATTTTAGACTGAGACAATTCATTGATACAACTACAATCAATTATGGAGACTGAATAAAAAGTCATAGTAATAAAAAAAAAATACAATGTCTTGCAGTGGAGCCATAGTTAAAGCTAAATCATGTAATAAAACAGTTGCACTGCCAACGGTAGTTCTGGAGCTAAATTTCTGCTTTCTACTGACTCAAAATTAGCTTGAAAAAAGTACAGAAAAAGTATTTTGTTTAAAAAAAAAAAAGATGCAAAGAGACGTAGCAAGATAGACTTTTAAAAATACTCCCATGTCCCATGTTTTAGAGATGTTCAGAGTGGTACATGAACCCAAGGGCCACGTCAAGCTATCTGTGAATCTATAATAGGGGACAGACATAATTTTAGTATGATAAACAGTGCCTGTTGCTGAGCAGCTTCAGGGTTGAGCTTCAGCTGCAGCTGCTTCTGATAAGCCGCCTGGAGGGAATTCCACTCCAGACGGGTGGGGTTGCAAGTCCAGACATCTGGTAAGAAAATGACCACAGTTTCCACCCGGGCAGGCTGCACCCGGTCTTTGTGTTTACTCTCTGGTCGGAAGTAGCGGATCTCTGCAAAGCGGTACCTGCCAACAGATAGATATGGATGGCAAAAGGGGATTTGAGGAAAGGTGCTGATGTAATGCCTCAGGAACACTCAGGTATGACATGTAAAACAGACATCCAGTCAGAAGCTAATGAGATAAACTAACAAGGCTAGCAACACAACTGGTAAAAAGCTCTTGTTGGGTAGTAATAGAAGACAAATATAAATATATATAAATATATATGTATGACTTCTCCCTAAATAGGTAATATTCAAGACTAAAACAAAAAAAAATGACAACATTGAAAATGTTACATACAATAATCACTTTTCTTCCCATAAGAGTGAATGAAAAACCTTTTAGAGAGAGCACATTAAGGGGACATAATACAAGTACATTTGTAATTGCCTACCATTGAGTACAGGAGCTGAGGTCAATGCCAGTCAGGGCTTTAGTTGTTCTGATGGCAGTCTTGATGAGAACCAGGGGGTTGGTGTGAGGGTTGGGTCCATCCAGGGATGGTGACCACGGGCCGCCAATAGCCATGGGTTCATTCTTGCCACGGGTTCCTACAAGGAACTGTAGCAGCCTAGTTGGATGCTGAAAGTTTTCCATGGCATCAGGGAGATCCTCAGCCAGACAGCAAGATTTCTTGTACAGCTCATCTTCAGAGGGGCTGGCCAGTAGCATCACCTGCACAAAAATAGTAGAACAATATCTTTCAATTCTATCATGTCAAGACACCATTTTATGTAGAGTTTGTAAAATTTATGATTTATAAAAATGTCAATACATCAATTCCCAATAATACTTTAAAATGATACTTTTTAATAATTTTAAAAAAGTACATATTCTGATATAAATCAGATATAAACAGGAATTTTTAGTTACACAACCAAGCAGTAATATATTTAGTGATTAATTTATTAGCTATCCATTAAAAACTAAATTATAATGCAGGAGAAAAAAAGTTTAAAAACTTCAAGTGTTTATGTTCATAATAATGTAACAACAGTTAAAAAACCATCATCTGTTAAACTAGTAGAGCATAAGATGTGATCGTTTTATTACCTTGGCACTGAAGAGATGATCAGCATCACTGGGCTCCAGGATGACAGTCTCTGTCCTGATACAGGGGACATCTTTGTGCATGACATGGAAATTACAGGACTGGCCTAGCGTGAAAGGACGGGTCAGTGGGAAATTCTCCACCCAGGAGAAGGAGGCATGAAAGAAATCACTAGGGATGTACAGGTTACTGTACTTGTTCTTCAAGGAGACGACACAGGCGTCTTGGCTGAAATAAACAGTCAAACAATCATGTAATTTGTTGGTTCAAAAACTTATTATTAAAAGTGCTAAATCTAAAACAATTCCGTATTCTTTCAAATTGTAGAATTAATCTAAAATATTAAGTTTTGGTAAATCAAATGTTAATGTAGCAATAAATCTAAAAATAAATACAGTACAATAAACAGGATACTGTTGAAATAACATGTTGCTTCAGGATCTCTAGGAAACACCAAAATAATTAAATAATTTAATATTGTACAATTAATCTGAAACCCTAAGTTTTAGTAAAGCAAATGAGTCTTACACATCCAATAGAATCTTTGGCACTTGAACCACATATCTTGGTGGTGGTCGAACGACTCTACGTTTAGGAGGGCTTCTGGGGCTACGTGCTCGAGATGGGGGAGACCGAGATCTTTTAGGGGGTGATCTGGATCGCTTGTTAACAGGAGAACGTGATCTCTTAAGTCTTGCTTCACGCCTTTCTCTCCTCTCTCTGTCTCTTCTTTCTCTTTCCTTTAAAGGCTCATTTCCTCCCCCTCCCATCCCCATCCCTCTCTGATCTTTGTTGGACATCATGTTCCTAGGGAGAGGGTCTCCCAACAGTCCTGGGCCCGTGTTTATACCAGAACGACCTCCAGAGTTGAACATGCCTGAAATTGTTTTTAAAAATATCTTTTTGTTACAAGAAGGCAAGTTTTAATATAACTTGTATATCATATTAAATACTAAAGATATTTTAATAAAAAGCAAATAAACCTTTTAAGGCTAAATGAATAAAGTATCATATGTATGTTGATGTCACAATACCAAAGTAAAGGAATAATGGAGTAGTGAAATGTTTAACTGGCTGAACTTTCCCTGATGTGTCTCATACCCTTCAGGGCAGGTGATATTGTGCCCTACACCCTCAACCCATGAACCAAACTCAAGATTAGCAAGTGAGTGCTTCACACATTAAACACAACAGTTCCACAATAGTTATGTCCTAAGGATTACATTAGCGCTAAGCACCACACAAACAACTCCAACCAACCTGCGGCAGGGAACTTGTTTAGTCCAGTCATCAGAGGTGGTGGACCTGGAGGGTTACTTAACAAACCCTGACCACCAGAGAGCCCAGCTATTCCAGCCATCATACCTGAGGTTCCCATCAGACCAATGGCCTGTTGCTGTATTGCTTTTAGCTGTTGCTGTTGTTGCTGCTGCTGTTGTTGGTGCTGCTGCTGCAGGGCCAACATCTGGTTGCTGCCCATAGCATCAGGCTTTGGATTTTTAAAATACAATAACTACAAAACTCTATACATCTAAATGCTAATTATGCTTCATTTTTAAATTATCTTTAATATCCCATTTTAAGTTAGTAAAAAACATCTGTTACAAAAGCTGACTATATCTCTTATACATTTAGTAAAAGAGGATAAAATAAACAATAACAGTAATAAAATTATATCAACACACCAGTGATATGACCCTTGTGGCATTCCATTTGAATGGCATGTTAGCATTGTAAGATGCCTCTACTAAGACTTTGTCCCCAACTTTGGGGATCATTCCTTTCACACAACTGCAAACAGTTTCAAAAACATTTGATATAACACAGATATAAGGTGACAGTAGGGGTAAAACTTATCATTAAATTGTCTTATTTACCAAATCTTAAAAATCAGAAAGAATATCTTCAAGCAAACTAGAAACATTTTATTGGGGCAGGTGAATGAGAGCTCAATGGCCTCGGCATATGAAGGGATAGTGTAGTCAGCACCATGCCCAGCCTTTGTTTCCCTGATGTGATTCAGAGCTGGGTGGACTCAGGTACGTCCTGCAGTCAAGAGCCCAAACCAAGATCCAAACTCGAGACCTTCAGGCTAAATTCTCTACCATTCGACCTCACCGGTTATCTGGGTATATTTTATTTCAACTCCATGCAAGATTTACAGTACAGTGCTTTTCTATTCAAACAGATAATCTATCCATTATATCTTTAGCCTTCCATAACTGATAATGACACCAAAACCAAAAATCTAGTCCTACTTCTAGGATATCCTAGGCATGGTCATACGGTATAGCATTGACTGCTCACCTCAGAATCTCTTAGCACGTCCCTGCGTCCACTCAGCTTTGATGGGTGCCTGACTTACATAAGAGAAAGTAAAGGTGGCTGTGCATAGTGCTGACCACACTATCTATTTATTGGCCGAGATCACAAAAACAGGTGAGCCCTACTATACTTCACTTGCCCCATGGACTGTCAGGTTTGAAAGAAAACTTAACTAAGATAAGAGCACTTGTTTCAAGCTTTTACTAGAGGACGGACATTATTAAAGAAATGTATCAAAAAGCAGAGGTTTTTTATTTACCTGACTTGAAAGAAAACCTCTTCATCTACAAAACCAAAGTTTTCATGCATCTTGGTGACACTACCAGTAAATATTCTCTGTTTCTGGTTAGGCACAGCCCCTGAGTTACCTTGTGGTTTAATTGGGTAGCTAACAGCTCCAACCTACAGAAAAACAATTGTACACATTATATATAAGTGTATACAAAAATAAAGATACTTTATATAAGTTTGGAATTAACTTGAAAAATAATTTGTAATTATTTCTACCTGTGGGTTACTTCCAGCCAAAGCAGATGTAAGAGCAAGACTTGGCTGTGGGAGTAGTGCCCCCTGTGCGGCTTGAAGATTTGCCTAAACATAAAATTATTATTTCAAATTCAGCTAACTTATCTTTTGTTTTAGCATAACTGACACAACAATAAAAAATTAATTAATTAGTAAACATTAAAAACTGAATTTGGAAATCAAAAATGCTTCTGAGCCAAACTAACCTTAAAAATCAGATGAACTTGGAAAACTTAGTTACTATACTTTAACAAATTAAATGGATCCTAAAGTTATATTACTTGATAATACTAAAATACTTTTATTGATATCAACTTTAACTGCAACTATCAGCTGCTATTTTTAATCGGGTGGAGAAAAATATAACAATAAAAACAAAAATAAATAGACAACTCTTACCGCTGTGGTCAACTGCTGCTGAGTAAACTGTGTCTGTGTTTGATTGTAAGGGTAGGTAACATTTGCCTGCATCATACCAGCAGCGCCTTGGTTGCTGTAATCTGAGAGAAAATAAAACAAGAACAATGGGAAATTGAAACCATCAGACTCTTTGCTAAATCAAACAATCATTTAAAATCGATAACATAACTTTTTGTTTTTTAACTGCTGAGAAATTTTCACTAGGTCTTTAAAGAGTCCTATTGATACACAAAGAACACTAAAACTTAGCATCTGGTCTTGTTATATTTATTAAACCAAATGTCTTTGCCTAGCTATGAAGTTTGTTCTAAACCAACCCTCCCTCTCACACACTGTTAGCAATACCGCTAGGAAAAAAAAAGAATATAAATTACATATGATACAGTGTGATAAACCATCATACTACAGACCTTCTAGAATTTTCATAAGAACATTTAGGTTAGGTAAGCTAAGAGAGAAGATATGGATAGCAAGAAACAACAGATTTTAACAACCACATGTACACAACACAAGCACTAACAAAACATACCTTGCCTTGCCCATGGTGGATTTTTATTACCACCGTACTGGTTGCTCATTGCTGGTTATTTCTTTTATTTCTGAAAACATAAATAACAGTATAAAATAAAGAGACACTAGCTTTAGTAAATACTAATAATACTTGCAACACATCTAGAGAAATGATAGAATTGTTTTCCTAATTTTAAATCAAAATCACACAATTGATATTAATTTATTTTTATAATGCCAAGTGGTTTCTGTTATCCTGCTGTTGATAAAAATAAATATGATGGTAACAGCAGTGAGGTATATCTGCTAAGTATCTATATATATAATTCTCTTCTGGGAGACGCTAGAAAACAAGCTGTAAACGCTTGACATTTCCATTTTGCTTAGGGGCCTGGTGGTTTAGTCCTACTCATTTTCCAGTATCGCTAAAACTAAAAGCTGTAACTTTCTAATGTGTGTCTTGGAGTTTGTATGATATGAGTAAATAAATCTATGTCATCAGCAAATTCTAAGTCTTCCTGTTTTTGTGTCAGGGTCCATTAGATTCTTTACCAGTGTCTGATACTACTGATACTTGGTTACTATTACTACTTATTACTTTAACTACTAAGATCTAGATCTAGCTAGATCTGATCTACTTCTTAGTCTTTTAGTTTAGTTTTACTTTTACATTTTAGTCTTACTTACTCTAAATCCTAGAATAGATAGATAGTTATTTAGTTAGTAGTTAGTAAGTTAGAATTTAGTTAGATACTACTTTACTTACTAATACTTACTTACTACTTACTACTACTAGATCTAGATTTAGAATTTTAGATCTAGATCTGGAAATTATAGTATCTAGTCTAGTAATCTAGAGCAGGGGTCTCCAAACTACGGCCCGCGGGCCGGATGCGGCCCGCGAGGTCCTCTCATCCGGCCCGCTGAGATTTTTTTGTCCACGGAAAAACGTTTGTTGGTGCTGGCTGAGGAACTTAGCCCAGAAAAATCAAAGACATGCCTGGAAGAAACTGGCCCCAGAACTGAAATTTGATAGTTAATGCGGCCCTCGGACTGAAAAGTTAGGAGACCCCTGATCTAGAGTCTACTACCAGCAGCACTTTCACTTGGAATGGTAGACCTAGATAGTAGCCTAGTAGTAAGTAGAAAGTTTCAAAGTAGGCCTAGGGCCTAGCTCACTTCACACTTCACTAAGTCACTGGCACTACTAGTCTAGAGTCTAGATCTACTAGTGTCAAGTTTACTTGAAGTTTAGTGTTACTACTGTACATAGTCAGTACACTCAGTCAACTCAGTGTAGCAGTAGCTGAGTGTACTACTCAGTGTAGTGTAGTTAAGTGTACACTAGTTGTAGTACAGCAGTAGTTAGACGTCTAGTACACTAGATCTAGTAGAAAGTCGGTATGACATGACAGTGTCAGTCAGTAATAGTCAGTATGACGAGTATGTTGTAAAATTGTGTGTAGGCCTAACTAAACAAAGTATGCCTATCTCTTTGCCTATGCAGAATGTACTATGTAGGTCTATGTAATATGTATAATTGTAATAAAATGCTGAATAAATATAGACCTAGTCTAGAAATCTAGACTAGATCTCTAGAATCTAAATTATAGGAGAGTTTTACGATGAAAAAATGTCATACTTGCTGAAAATACTTGCTACTCTTCTACACAAACTTTTTGTGTTGTTTTATCATTCGTTAAGCAGCACGTTACACAAAAATTGTTGGAATAGCATTTTGAAATTGTTAATAGGCTATTCCAGTGGTTCCCAAACTTTTTCAAGTGGCGACCCCCTTACATAAAAAGTAAGTGACCCGCCACCCCCATAGAATTAAAAAGCCAAAATTAGTATGGAAATTTATAAGCACTAAAAGAAGATTTTCTAGCAGACGTTCAATAGGATCTACTCTTGATAACTGTTTTAATACGATGAGTATAATTGCAAGCTATTTACTAAACATTCGCTGTTAAGTTTTTGTTAACGCCAACCTATGTCATTATCAACATTCAATTTATTTCTTAATTTTGTTTTTAATCGGAGAATAGTGTTGAAAATCTATTCTAGAAAAGTCAATCGATTTTACGATTGGGTATGAATGCTACACCAAAATTGTGCCTGCGGAATAATTCTGCAAATCAAAGAATTCATCTTGTAATTCATTGGGAAAGCTGGCAACATCAAGGGAAGAAGAGAATGGGTAAAGCGTCAATGCAGATTCTTCTTCTTTCAGCTCAGAGAAATAGCGCCTCAGTTCGTTTTCAAGAGATTCAATATGACCAGAATTCGCATCTTTCAAAATTTTAATTATCGCACAATCAGATTCATCTACCATACTGCAGAGTTTCTCAAATTTTCAATATTTCCAAAATTTATTTTGTTCATATCTGCTAGCTATGATACTCTCTCCAACTACTCTATGTCGTTTTAAGTATACCAAAAGGTCTTGTTTCCTTTGAACTTCCAAGAACAATTTTATTTCAGATATTTCAATTCAAAAACACGATTCACAAACAACATTTCGTTTGACAGCCAGCGTACTGTAGTGTAGAAAAGCAGAACCTCGTGATCTATATTAATGTCGTTGCTCAGTTTAATGAAGGCTCCAGATTTAATATATTTTGCGACTTTTACTAGCAATGGAGTCGGAAGCGTCTTGATGGCGAGGGCATACTGGTGAATCATGCAGTGTTTAGGGAGCTAAATCTTTTCTGTTTTCTGAAAGCCCGATTTTGACCTAAACATAGATGGCGCACCATCCGTACAAACCCCCACAGCCGTTTTGACCCATTTTAATCATCCAGTTTCAAAAAACGTATTTATTTTCTCCATGCTATCTTCACAAAATAGCAGCTCTTCTTTGCTATTATCTGAATGAATCTAGAAAAAGATAAGCAACTGCGAACATGAACTCACGTCTGAAAAGCAAACAATGGTGAAAGTTTGATTTCGTTAAAAATTTGTTATTTAACATCTCCGGACATGTCTACTATAAGCCGCTGAATAGTATTATTAGGCTGAGATATTTGCTGCATCTTTACTGCACTGGAATCCCCAAAAATTTACCTTACCATCTTCAACATGCAGCGTTTGATGAGATATTCTCCTATTGTGTTTTTTTTTTTTTTTTTTTTTTTTTGCTTGTCATTTTCTATCGTGACTTCATTTGATGCTATACATGTATGGGAATATAGTATATAGGGGTCGTCCATAAATGACGTCACACTCGTAGGGGAAGGGGGGTCCGTAATTTTGTGACGGTGTGTGATGAGGTGGAGGGGGGAGGGGTTCAGATGGTGCGACGTCACACTTTTGTATTATAAAATAGCAATGTTAGAAAACACGTTATTTCGCGTTTTAGAAAACTGTTTTAATAAATTGTAATAGGAATTGATTAAAATACTCTATTTTGACAGAGTTCAGACAATATTCTGGAAAAAAATATGGATGTTTTAAGGAAAATTCAACTGCAATTTTGAGGGGGGGGGGTTGTAGGCTGAGGTGTGACGTCATTTTAGGGGAAGGTCTGGCTTTATGTGACAATGTGTGACGGTGGGGAGGGGGAGGTAAAAATTGTCCAAAAAAGCGTGACGTCATTTATAGATGACCCCATATGCTTTTTTTGCCTTGGTGTCATCCCCCTAAATGGTGTGACTTTGGTGTCACCCGGTGCGGTCCGCACCCCCTGCCCCGCTCTCGCCACGCCTCTGGTTATATTGCTGACCACACTATCCCTTCATAGTTCACAGAAACAAGTGAACTCTAATTTATCTGCTGTCCCATGGACCGCCATTTTCGCAAAGGCTACTTTACCTATAGTTCCCACCAATAGAGATGCTGTAAATACGGCCCTCATTTCGCTTCCGCCGGCCTCCTTCAACATAGCCTCCCGACCAGAGTCGTAGCGGACTATGCATCATATATAATACTTCAACTATATGTGGGTGACACCATGAGGTGCCGCGTCGGGTTATACCCGATCTATCGACGCCACTGCTGCCGACAAAATTGTCCCTGTAAGTTTTAAGGGTAGAACATTTGCATTTATTTTTATGTTTTAAACCAGGGGTCTCCAAACATTTCAGTCCGAAGGCCGCATTAACTATCAAATTTCATGGGGGGGGGGGGGGCAGTTTCTTCCAGGCATGTCTTTGGTTTTTCTGGGCAAAGTTCCTCAGCCATCACCAACAAACGTTTTTTTTCCGTGGAAAAAAAGATCTCCGCGGGCCGGATGATACGACCTCGCGGGCCGCATCTGGCCCGCGGGCCGTAGTTTGGAGACCCCTGTTTTAAACTAATGATATGCTTTTACTGTTACACAAGCGTACAGTACGCGTTGCTACTGTTGGTTTCTTTTTCTGTTATAAAAAGATGTATCTACTTATATTGTCAGCAGTCCAGTGTAAATCCTTCCGCTTTAAGTTTGTGTAAACCCCCCCCCCCCCACGGGGGGGGGGGGGGGGGGCTTTTATGAGTGGTTTTTACCGGGCACTGACGTAAGCGTTTTAATTTTACTGTCACACAGTTGAGGTAGAAAACTGTTAAATCAGTGTGTAAAGCCTTGTCTCCGTATATTTTCTTAACTGTGACTGTATATAAATAAATAAATTGTAGCTTACCAACTTACAATGAGTTAAAAAATTATATCCCTTTTGGCACCCCATATGGACGACGCCCGCGATGCCCCCCCCCCCCCCCCAGCCTCTGTGACTAATTATTATTATTATTATGTAAACTATCAATCACTAAATTGTAGGCCTACTCATAGATCTTCTAGTTGAAAATGGAAAGTTTCTAATTACCTATCATTCGCTTGCCTGATATATAAAGAATGACACAATCTATTTCAAACTTTTTCATTTTTTTAAATTTATCATATATTTTTTAAACTATCTTTATTGCACCAACTGCTGTTTGTGTCCGCCCGCCCCCCCCCCCCCCCCCACCCCGCAAAATGTAGACCGCCCCCCCCCCCCCTCCCCCCGAAGACAGAAGTCTGGAAGAAACACTGGCTATGTATTTTGGGTAAACAGAAAAATAACAGAATGTGATAACAATAGGCTTATTTTATAAAATCCAGAAATATAGTAGATCTAGATCTAGGTCTATACAGTTTAGTTCTATCTATCTATTAGGCCTAAGTTGTAATGTGACTCATTTAAAGTAGATCTATATCATATCAACTATAGATCTATTTAATTTCTAAATTTCTTTTAAAAAGGAGATGCTTAGATATCATACTGAATTGAAATATCTATCTGAAAGTATAAATTTAGACACCGTGAATATAGATTTCTAGATCAAATAGACTACATTAGACTAGACATCCACTAGGTCTAGCTAGGCCTAAGAATTCATTTTCATCTTTAGACCCCAAAAAACCGAACCGGAAAACGATTCTGGCCGATTGGTTCATCCACTTCCTTTTCGTTGTTGTTCCGCCAGAGCAAGGTAATGAAATTTTTGAGGGTTTTTTTCAATCGCACATAATCCAATTAATCGGTGTAAAAATACTCTTCTATATTATACTTAATTATTTTACATAACTCTCTATTATCTATTTCGTTGTTGATTTTTCTAAGTTATATGATTACGCAGAATCTGTATTTTATTCGTGATTAAATCATATGAGGTTGAAATCGAGATTCTAGATCTAGGTGTAGTTTTTTTTAAAGTTACTTTCCATCCAACAACCTATCTAGATCACATAGAATTCTAGATGTTGTTCAGTTCTAGATCTAGGTAATTAGATGTAAGCCTCACTACTACTAGATCTAGATCTCTAGAATATAAATCTCGGTAAAACTCCATTTTTTTTAGCGTATTTTATTTCTCCGCTGCTTGTTTACCTCCAGTTGAGCGTATTTTATTATAACAACCGAAACACACCAAAACATTAGGAAAACACGATTCAGTTAGGCCTATTTGTATTGTATTTTTGTTTTAACAAATTAATAAAAATGAATTAAAAAAAACAAAGAGACTGACTTTGTTTTAGATTTTGTCTGATAATTTAGTTTTGTTAAAGTTAAAACTTGAGAAAAATCCAAATTTATAATATTGAATGTGCAATGTTCGTGTGTCAGAATTTTCATGGCAATGGGTGAAGTACGTAAACGTAACTCACAATTGCAAGGCGATTAAGTTTGTATTGTTACAAGTATCTCCCAGGCATGATACTATAAATAAACATTAATGAACTTACAATGACCCCAAAACTGAGGCCAACACAATTTCAAATAGCAATTGCCCGAGCTATGACGTATGCTGATAATTCAATGTCAATGTGAACTCACGGTGAACCCGCGACCGTGTAAGGATTTTTCTCCCGCTGACGATTACACAAGATTCGATATTTAATTGGAACAGTTCTAATGCTTTTTATGTTGTTTTTTTTTTTACCTTTTCTAATTAAAAATCACATTCATTAAAAAAGTAAGTAAATCTAGTGTTTTCCTGAAGTTTTTTGTGTGTTTCGGTTGTGTTTATAATACGCTCAACTGGAGGTGAACGTGAAGCTGGGAATAAAATACGCTAAAATGGAGGTTTACCTAAATCTCAACTTGTTGGCATGTCTAGAAATGTGTATTGGAATAATGAATAATCAATGTCAGAAAATTTGACTTGCAAAACAAGGCACCCCTTTTCATACGTTTTTAAGATCTGTGGTGTTATTGAACTTACTGGACACGTAGATCTAACTCATTAAAGTACAGTAACACATCCCAGGTTTGGATTAGTGATTACTGTGTACCAGATCCCAGTAGGCCTAATTTTGCGCCCGCTTTAAGATTGTTATTGTGGTATTATCTGACGTTAAAACATTATGATTAATACATAGACCTAGAATATTAATTTTTTTTAAATGTTGCTTGGTGAATGTCTATTTAGCAGTGATGATTAAATGGAACTTGCCCTCTCTTACATGTTGTATGGTGATAAGTTGCCTTTTTGTGTACTCATACCTGAGCTAAAAGACATTCTAAAACCGAAGTGACTACTCAGATTTTTCTCCCCAACATCTCCACTTAGTCAGCAAAAGATAGCTCTGCGCATGTGCAGTGACCTATGGTTAGGGATAGGTTTGGTGTTAGGGTTCTGTGGTTGTAAACACACGCATGCGCAATACCATCAAAAACATCTCCGCGATGGCAAGTTGTAGTTTCTTTACATTGCGCATGCATATCTTTTTCCGGCTAGCATCGGCCTTCTAAAACTTGAAGTTAGCATATCAATAAATAGGCCAAAATATTTTTTTAGTTTTTACTTGGTTCAAGATCATTACTTTTTATTTGGTTATGTAGGCCTAAACTTTTTATGATTGTTTTATCTAGGCCTATGTTTAAAATATATTACTATTAGCTATGATGACACGATGGAACTTGCCCTCTCTTACATGTTGTATGGTGAGAAGTTGCCTTATGTGTACTCAAGCCTGAGCTAATTTTCTATGTTCATATTTTCTAGTTTTAGCAAAGCTGACTTGGTACGAGATTTTATTTTTAGAATGGCATACTTCTGATATGGAAATTTGAGACTTTTAATTTAACATTGTTTAGTGCTGCTTGGTTTAATATATTTCAAGTCACAGCTGCAGTGTTCATAATTTCAAGTAACAATTAGCACCTTTGTGTCTTTTTCCTTAAGAAAAGAAAATGCTTTAAATTTTAGTTGGTCATACATTTTGTTAGTTATTCTTATAGGTTCTCCTTACATCCTGTTTTTGATAACTTTTAGTTTTAAAAAATTTAAGAAGTTGGTCAATTTTCAAGTTTTATTAGCAATGATGACACAGTGGAACTTGCCCTCTCTTACTTGCTGTGTGATGAGAAGTTGCCTTTTTGTGTACTCAAGCCTGAGCTAATAATCCATTTAAATCTGGCATTGTCAAAACTGCTCGATAGCTGTTCCCGTTCTTCTTGCATGCTAAATGTGTTTATTTTTTTACTTAAATAATCATTTAATTAGCAATGATGACACAATGGAACTTGCCCTCTCTTACTTGCTGTGTGATGAGAAGTTGCCTTTTTGTGTACTCAAGCCTGAGCTAATAATCCATTTAAATCTGGCATTGTCAAAACTGCTCGATAGCTGTTCCCATTCTTCTTGCATGCTAAATGTGTTTATTTTTTTACTTAAATAATCATTTAATTAGCAATGATGACACAATGGAACTTGCCCTCTCTTACTTGCTGTATGATGAGAAGTTGCCTTTATGTGTACTCAAGCCTGAGCTAATTCATGGTGATATTTAAGAATGCACTTTTTTTTTGTTGTACACATTTTTTTTTACCCCTGCTAATTATTTTGAAAAATAGCTACATAGTCATAGTGTTGCCACTAGATTTCTCTCTTCCCCCCCCCCCCCCCCCCCCCCCCATATAACCTTAAAATTATTATGATTTCCATTGCATTACATATTTTGAATTCCCAAATCTGGTCTGTCTATTGACTAATTTGGTTAGTTTAAAGTCGTGCTTTATATAAATCCTATGTGTTAAAGATATCTTCATTCCTGTATTGTTTAAATCACTGGCAAATAAAATAAAAACAGACTGACTCAAAATATGAGCATCAAAATATTTAATTAGCTATGATGACACAATGGAACTTGCCCTCTCTTACATGCTGTATGGTGAGAAGTTGCCTTTTTGTGTACTCAAGCCTGAGCTAATGTGAATTAGATGCATATTTTTTTACTATGCTATGTCTGTTATGGGGGGTGGGGGTTAGTGATCATCACTTTATTTCCCACCATAGAGCGTAAAAATTTAATAGGCTGTTGCATCAATCTTTTTATATTTTTAGTTAGTTTTTGTATATCATATAATGAAGGTGCTTCCATCCTGTTTATTTTTTTTTAACTTTTCAAGCATTTATTGATTTTTGCTTACCAAACATCTAAATTAGCAATGATGACACTATGGAACTTGCCCTCTCTTACATGCTGTATGGTGAGAAGTTGCCTTATGTGTACTCAAGCCTGAGCTAATGTGAATTAAACAGCATAATGAAATTTTGTATTTTGCTATGTCTGTTATATTGGGGAGTTAAGATTAACAATCCTTTCTTTTCCCTATAGAAGAAAAAAAATTAATAAGTTGCGCCACATTGTTTTTGTTTTAAAATCTGTCTATCTTAAAAATTTACCTGCTTCCGTCCTGTTCATTTTTATTTAAGCTTGTCATTTGCATTTATTGGTTTTGGCAAACACTACTTTATTTAGCTATGATGACACAATGGAACTTGCCCTCTCTTACATGTTGTATGGTGAGAAGTTGCCTTTTTGTGTACTCAAGCCTGAGCTAATCTTGCATCATATACAACTTTTTTTAAGAATAATACATTTAGTTAATAATTAATTTCCTTTTATTTTATTTCCCCAGGAACCACAATCATGGTGAGTTTAATTTTATATTTTAAAATTATTTTAATCCTTCTAATTTATAGTTGAACATCTTCTAATTTCTATGTTGTACTACTTTGTGACCTCTGAACTATTTGAACAATGTGTTCAGATTTTACTTGTTTTTCGTAATTCTTAAACTTGCTGTTATAGTTAATTGTTCTTTAGATTTTGTTTTTCAAAAATAAAATAAATTGAGATTACATCTGACTATATTTTAAAAAGCTGATTAAAAGTTTAAATCAAATAATAGCAATGGTGCATATTTAAGTTTTTCTAGCTTTGATTTGTCATTTGTTTGTAAATTATTGAATTATACTCAGACTAAGACAGCTTATTTGTATAATACTTTTTAAGTATATGTTTTGCATATGTTGCTAATGTTAGATCAGTTTAGTTATCATCCTTGTATTTTCTTTCTTCAGCCTAAACAAATCCAAGAAATAAAGGATTTCCTTTTAACAGCAAGGAGAAAAGATGCCAAGTGTAGGTTTATTTTAACAAATTTTTTGTGATAATTATTCTTAGTGTTCAGTCAAGCATATTGTTTAAAAAAAATTAAATATTGTTGCAGCTGTGAAAATCAAGAAGAACAAGGACAATGTGAAG